GGGGGGGGAGACGGAGAGGGGAAAAGAGGAAGAGGAGAAGGAGGGGGAGGAGGAGAGAGGAAGGAGGGGAGGGGGAGGAGAGGGGAGAGGAAAGGAGGGATGGAGAGGAGACAGAGAGGGGAGAGGAGGGAGGAGAGAAGAGGAAAGGGAGAGGAGGAGAGAGGAAGGAGGGACGGGGTGGGGGAAGAAGAAGGGAAGGGGTGAAGAGAGGGAGAGGGAGGGGGAGAGAGAAGGAAGAGGAGGAGGGAGAGGAAAGGAGGGGAGCAGACAGAAGGGAGAGAGGGAGGGGAGAAGAGGAAGGGGAGAGGATAGAAGGGAGAGAGGGAGAGGAGGGGAGGGAAGAGAAGGGGACAGGAGGAAGGGGATTGGGTGGAGGGGGGAGAGGGAGAAGGGGGGAGGAGAAGAGGGAGATGGGAGGAGAGGGAGGGGAAGGAGAGGGGAAGGAGGGGAGAAAGGGAGGGAGGAGGAGAAGTAGAGGAGAGGGAAAGGAGAGGCAGAGGAGGGGAGGACGGAGATGGAGGAGGAAGAGAGCAGAGCGGAGCAGGACGAGACGCGGCCGCGCGGGGCTCCAGCTCACACCTCTCCTCCACGATGGACTCCAGCGTCGCCGTGGCCAGTGAGCGCAGCGCGCGGTGCAGGTCTGAGCAGAGCAGAGTCAAAGGAGTGCAGCGACACGGGGCCGGATCCCCCCAAAGGATGCTGACCCCATAGGGACCACCGCCCCCCCCAAAGGATGCTGACCCTGTAGGGACCACCGCCCCCCCCCAAAGGATGCTGACCCTGCAGGGACCACCGCCCCCCCCAAAGGATACTGACGCTGTAGGTGCCGCCGCCGCTGTCCCCGGATTTCGCCACAAACTGCAGCTGTGCAGACACGGAGCTCAGCAGGTCCTGGGTGCCAGAACCGCTGCTGCCCCGAAACCCCGGCGGACAAAACCTGATTTGTGCTGGGCGCCGGGTGGAAACAACTCGCAGTGGGGAGCAGCAGCCCAGCGCCGCAGCAGCTGCACTCTGACAGCGCAGTGCTCTGCAGGCCGAGCTGCGCCCCACTGGGAGTTGTTTCCATCCAGCACCCCATCTCCATCTGTTTCCATCTCACAGCATCTCACAGCGCCCCACTGCACCCCATAGCATCTCACAGTGCCCCACTGTGCCCCATAGGATCTCACAGTGCCCCACTGTGCCCCATAGGATCTCAGTGCCCCAATGCACCCCATAGCATCTCACAGTGCCCCACTGCACCCCATAGCATCT